GATGTTCAGTAAAACATCAATGTATAACTGTTCAGTATAGCAGTTCGGGCAGCTTGAATGATGTTCAGTATAGCATCATCTTTTAAATCATAAATGCAGAGTATAGCATTGCTTATCATGATTTGTCTTTAAGTGATGTTCAGTAAAACAATGAAACATCAATGTATAACTGTTCAGTATAACAGTTTGGTCAACTTGAATGATGTTCAATACAGCATCATCATATAAATCTATAAATGCTCAGTATAGCATTCTGTGTTCATAGTTTCAATCGGAAAATGCTCAGTATAAATAATATATGAATATTATATATTCATAATACTAATCATACTAATCATAGTATAGCATGATTTATGTTTATAGCCTCCCTTTATAAATCGGTATAGCATAATATAATCATAACATAATTCTAAAAATTATTAGTAAATTTACTAGGTTTATAGCGTTACCACGGTTACTCCAAAAACGCTCAGTATAGCATTTGTATTATTATGACATCACTCTATAAATGCTCAGTATAGAACTATTATGATTATAGCGTCACTTGATATAAACATGTAAAGCATTACCAAACAATTGGTTTGTATAACAGGTGGGTCCATTGGTGCTTCTAGCATGTCTAGTTGTGTTTATATATATAGAGGAATACCCAGTATGATCTGCATGAATCTGTTCAGTATAACAGTTGGTTTTGGGGTTATATAAGTGCCAATACTTGTCCCTGTATACATTTGTAGATGTTTAATGTAATGTGACCATCAGTCGGGTCATGATAATACAGAGAAAAGTAAACAGCAAGTAGGGGTAAAGTGCAATGTCTCTGTTGGTAGCTCACATGGCATCTACAATTCTGTTGTCCTAATGCAGCCTTTGGGAACTTCTGATTCGTTGAATACTTACCATGGTTATCTGCCTATTATTAAGGCTTTTGTGTTATATAAGTGTATATACCAGTTGGTTTATGCTTGGTAGGATATTTTAACATTATTGATTACAAGGGCTGTCAGATAATTTACAAGAATTATTATATTTTTACACATTGGCTACAAGTATATGTAGTTCTTAATGTGATTATGTGTTCTACATTCTTTCTCATGTAACACAGGGACAATGCCAAGGCAAAAGAGAGGAAAATCGCCACCCAAATCTGCACAGCCCCCAAAGCGGAGGAGGAACCCAAATGCAGCAAAAAACACACCTAGCACGGAAAACCGATACTGCTCCTTACAATACTTTGCATATCCAGTTAACAATTTAAAGAATGTTTAACACAGTTTCTCTAATGATGCGAAGATATCAATGAAATTGATAATCATTTTTTGCACCATTAGAAACAGGGAACATTTGGTAATTGCCAGGTATCTGAAGACATGTTAAGTTTATTTACTAGCTGCCATACATATAATTCTTAAGGGGCATTATTATCCCTATAAGGAAGACTCGGCAATTTTAAAATGTATTTTTATGTTCAGCAAAATCCTTATTAGTGGGTTTTGCAACATTCAATATATCGTTTCTTTTATGCTTTAAGTAGAAATATTGGGAGAAAAATGGTTAAAAAAAAAAAAAAAAAAATCTGAATCAGGGAATGTTTTAATATTGCAATCAATGTCAATTATATTTTCAATATATTGTTTCACTTGTACAATGTGCAGTAGAAACTTTGGTAATGGTAAAGAAAAAAAAAAGAATTTAGTATGAACATTAAGAATATGTTCAAGATACCAGTGAAAACATTCAATATATTGTTGCAATATTGGTGGAAACATTCAGTATAATTTCGATTAGTTTTGTTTTGTTTTTTGTGAATGTTTAATGTTTTGATGGAAACATTCAGTGTAATGATTAAAAGTTTTCCTGGAAATTAAGTATTTTATATCAAAACTTTGGGAACACATTCAGTTCAATGTACCATTGTTTTTGTGCAAACATTCAGTATAATGTTTTAAAGTTTTTGAAGATACATTCAGTATGCTTCATTATGTTCCCCAAACGAAGTTGGGGAACATATTGTTTTTACTCTGTTTCTTATTATTATTATTATTTTTCTTCTTCCTGGGTACTTTTTTGTCCGGGAGTGATCTTGTAAACTACACATCCGACTTAGGTAAAACCTTTTTAGGGTCAGTAGGCATGTTATGTAAATTTGCAGAACGAAGGTCATTTTGCTCGCACGTGCTTGCAAGAGCGTGCACGTGCAACATGTAAAATGACCGATTTAATTGATATAAGCGTAACTTTTCACATTTTTGATGAAATGCTTTGAAACTCATAATATAAAGATATATTAGTAGCATAGACAATATGACATGGTCAAAATAGCAAGATCTCACGCGCATGCACGTGCGCTTCGCTCTGATTGGCTGAAACAAAAATCTCAATATCTTTTCTGTTTTTTGACGAAATGTTATGAAATTTAAAACATAGGCATACTTTAGGATGTTCTACAATACAATATATAGCAATTATCATGAAAACGTGAATGCACGTGTGCTGCAATCTGATTGGCTAAAACTTTAAATAGCTATAACTCCCTTGATTTTCAACCAAACAGGATGGGATTTGGAACATAGATAGATATAATAGAGCTCTACAAGAAGGTATGGTCAACATGCACATGCATACACGTGCGTGTACATGTGCTGCAATCTCATTGGCTGAAACTTTAAACAGCTATAACTCCCTTGGTTTTCAACCAAACGGGGTTGGATTTAGAACATAGATAGATGTAATGGACTTCTACAAGAAGGTATGGTCACCATGCTCATGTATGCACGTGCGTGCATGTGAAATGAGTAAAATCAAAAATACACTTGAATGAGCGTATTTTTTAATACTTTTGGATTAAATACTTTAATATTTAGTATATTAAGATATATAAATTCTGTAGACAATATGATATGGTCATTACGCATATGCATTCACACGCGCACGCGTGCAATGCTAAAATTTGAATAAACTTGGTACACTTCTGGGTAAACGTTGTCAAAGTCTCAAATGCATAGAGTTTGTCTTATTTAATGAAGCTTACAGGGGATATGGCATCAAAATGGAGTTGGGGAGCGTTTGGGGAACATCTGTAACGGTCCCCGTTACAATTAGCACTAGTTGTCTTTGTGACAACATTCATTGTAAATTATATTTCAAAGTTTTTGTCTTAAACATTCAGTATAATGTTTCAAAGTTTGTGTCAAAACGTTCATTATGATATTTCAATTTTTGTGGAAACATTAAGTACAATGTTTCAAGTTTTTGTGGAAACTTTCAGTATAATGTTTCAAGTTTTTTTTTTTTGTGTAAGCATTGCATGTAAATTTCTAGTCAGTCTCAGGGGGATCACACTTGTACCTTTCACCTGTGTACATGTAACCTGTATTGTTTAATATTAGATGATCCCCCTTCATGATTTGTTATACATTTTACTATATGTCATTGAATAAATGACATATTCGACAAAACTGCATATCTGTGTTTGGTTGTTTTTCACTGCACTTTCAGGCTGATATTTCTCATGGGAGGCATAAAACAATATTATCACAGATAATTCAATTTATGCCGCTATGAGAAATATATTATATTTTACACCTAAGGATGATTAGAAAATTAAAGGAGACTTACCTGTAAGGTGAACTTTAATTAAAATTCTCCGAAACACCAAGGAACGTTGGGTATTACGTGAGATATGCAAGCCTACTCCCAGATCAGTATTTAACTCAATATGTGAATATTCTTGATAATAAGCAATTTTACAGATGCTACATTTTTATCTATTATTATAAAATTTATCACCCTAGTTCCCATGGGAGGGAGATCAAGGGTGGGCACGTAATACCCAACGTTCCTTGGTGTTTCGGAGAATTTTAATTAAAGTTCACCTTACAGGTAAGTCTCCTTTAATTTTCTAATTCTCCTTCACCATCAAGTCACGTGGGTATCACGTGAGATGTTTAAAGCAAATATTCACATATTGAAAATAGGAATTATACAAAGTAGAAGAATTCCTATAACTTTCAAAAATTTATTGAATATTCATATTATCTAAGCTACATGTTGAAGACAAAATTGCCGACTGAAAATTTTTATCATTATATAAAACAGTTTTGTCATAAAATTTTGCAAATGTATTCTCATTAGACCATCCAACATGTGATAAGATATTGTCAACTGAAATCCCTGAAGAACGTGCGGCGGCGCTTGCAGCAGCGCGAGTGCTATGTCCAGAAAACTTGCTGGTATCAATGCCAGATTTAGATAACAGAGTTCTTATCCAGCGAGAAATACTGTACTTCGATGCCTCTCGAAACGGCTTTTGGGTTGTCAAAAGAAGTTTTCTATTTCCATTGCCTCTATATTTTCCCGTCTTTGTTATATACACTTTAATACATGACACAACACAAAGCATCTTATCCGGGAAAGCTAACACTGTAATTGGTTTTATATGATAAGATGGCCTAGATTGTTTTACAAGATTATTTACACAAAACACAGTTCTATCTTCATAAACATGCATATTATTTAAATGTAAAAGTGACAAAGTTTGTGCTCTCTGTCCTGTTACTAACGCTAATAGCATGACAAGCTTCAATGTCAAATCAAACACTGATAAAACTTCATTTTCACCCATACTGCGAATAAACGATAAGACCGTGCTCACATCCCAAGTCTCTGTATACCGCGGTAAATTAGGACGGTCGATAAAGACTCCTCTCATGAAACGTCTAATTAGCGGATCAGAACCAATAGCCACATCATTAACAGGTGGTAATAAACAACTAAGAAAACTCCTGGCGGAATTTATCGTACTACAGTGGACCCTCATTTATCCGGACGCTTTGGTTCCCAGTCAATTTGTCCGGATATGTGAAGCATCCGGATATCTGAATCATCAGTTAAACAAGACAGAGTAACATTTTAAAATTTTGTTCCGATGAAAAATCGTCCGGATACTGAAGCATCCGGATATCTGGCGTCCGGATATCTGAAGGTCTACTGTATATGAATATCCTTTATCAAAAAGTTCGGTAAGAAAATCCAAGACAACTGTTATTGAAAAAGTATCAGATACCTGGATAGATTTGCGATTTAGAAATTCTAGCCACTTTTTCATATGCGAATCATACTGTTTTTTAGTTGACGCTCTCCAAGAGTTCATAAGAACCGGAATTGCTTTCTCTGAAATACCTTTGGATTGATACATTTTCCAGATATGTGACATGCCAGAAGACGCAGCTTTGGGTATAGTTTGTGATCTTCTTGAGGGCGATGAGGTAATACCAATGTGTCCCGGGACTGAGGAAGAATAAGAGGTGCATCGACACACAGTTTCATCAGGAATGGATACCAACTCGCTGTTGGCCAGTCTGGAACAATAATAATTGCAGCTGGTACTTGTTCTTCCACAATCTTTTTCAGAATCCGCTGGATCAAACTAAATGGAGAAAAAATATACATGAATACAAATTCCAGGTACATGTGAAAGCATCAGTAGCACTAGCACTCGGATCAGGATGCCATGATATGTAATTAGTTAACTGATTATTCACTCGAGATGCAAATAAGTCGACAACTGGTCGAGAAAAGATACTGGTTATCTTCAAAAACAATTTTCTTTTTAACATCCATTCCGTGTCATCGCGAATTTTACGGCTTTCCAAATCGGCTACAGCATTTAATGAGCCCTTGATATGGACAGCGGTAAGGAACACATTATAACGATAAGCCAAAAGCCAAATGTCCCTCGTTAATTGGTTACAAATCACGGACTGAGTTGATCCAAAATGATTTATGCAGGCTACGGCCGTGGAATTATCAATGTGCAGTTTCAAATGCTTATCTCTAATTTTATTCTTGAAAGACCGGAGAGCTAAATACACGGCAAACAGTTCTAAATAATTAATATGAGGATAATTAGAGCTGTCAATCTGCGACCAGGGTCCCCCAGTCCGTACATCACCCAAAACTGCTCCCCAGCCAACAGTAAGAGAAGCATCGGTAAACCTTTCCAGAGAAGGTGAATGATTTCATACATTTTATGCTTTCATACCACCACTTCAGATCACTAACAGAACTATCAGATATGCACATGACCGAATCAAAATTTCCTTTATTTATTTTTAATGCTTGAATCTTTTCAATTTCGAGGCGCTTGCAATACAAGGATCCTAAGGGACAAGCAAGGACATTAGAATTTAACATGCCTAGCAATTCTGACACTTCTCGAATGGAATTTCTTCGTTTACTCAAAATCGTATCTATTTTAACTTTGAGCTTCTCTATCCTTTTAGGCGGAATCTTAATAGTCATAGTTTCTGAACAGATGATAAATCCGAGAAAAGTAACAGTTCTTGCTGGGATCATGACAGATTTTTCCCGGTTGTTGACAAAACCCAAGTTTTCTAAGATTTCAACAGTGTCATTTATATTTTCCAAACACATATCAAAAGATTCAGCTTGTACATAACAATCATCTATATACATCTCTGATTGATGACCTCTTGAACGAAGATCAGACAAAATAGGTTTCAATAGTTTAGTGAAAACACGAGGTGCTGAACTTAATCCCATTGCTAAACAGGTGTATTCCCAAGGCTGCCCTTTCCAAATGAACCGCATGAATTTCCTATCTGCGTTGCAAATTGGAACAGTATAATAAGCGTCTTTTAAGTCAATCGTACCCATATAACAATTTGGGGTAACCATACAAAGTGCATTACTGAAACTTTCCATTTTAAAATGTTTATATACAATGAATTCATTCAGTTCCTTCAAATTAAGAATCATTCTAAATGTTTTGTCAGCTTTAGGAGTAAGAAATACTGTTGAAATGAATTGATCATTACGGAAAACAGCTTTCCGAATTACACCTTTGTCCTTCAATTTTTGTATTTCACAGTCCAAATACATTGACTGTGTACTATTCACAAATGTTTCTCTAACAGAATTTTGTAAAGGTAACGATGAAAATTCTAATTTGTATCCAGACACAATATCTAAAATAACTTTGTCATTAGTTACTTGCTTCCAATTTGACAAAAAATGCTGTAATCTACCAGCAATTGGTAAGTCATTGGTGACTTCTGTGAATTTTTCACTAACCTGACTTATTGCCGACGACTGTCTTTGCTCAGGTTCCTTCGGTAGGGGCGGAAGGTTCCGCGAACATTCTTCTCCCCTCCTCTTTTCCTGGATCCAATCGTCCAGGAATTTTTTGAGCCTAAAAAAGGCTTCCGATTTCCATGAAAAAAGCCAGATTTTGTGCGATCTTCACTTATTTTCTTCCCGACTTTATTTGCTTCTTGAATGCTTTTAAGCTGATCAGTGATATTGTCACCGAATAAATTATCGGTGACGGCATTTTGTGATGAACACAAAGATCAGTATTCCACGTTCAGAGATGGCTTAATGCAATTTCTGCGCACATGATTGATGTCATCATTAGCCATGGCTATCATAGATATGGCCTCCATGAGCCGATTAACGGTCTCATTTGTTCCAGCATTATCTCCATGAGGGTCCGTTTTAATGAGATTGTCGACGACTCGAATTATCGGAACCATGGCATTTGCGATAAGTTTTTGCGGCTTTTGTATGTCAAGATCCGAATTCCTTGCAGATGCCGGTAATGATCGCCATATTTCTTTATTGACTTTAGGTACCAACAAAATTTCACAATTTTGAGGAAGTTTGAATTTTTCATAATTTTCTTCTCGTTTCTTCTCTTCATTTGCTTTAGTTTTGTCTCCAGTAAACATAGCTTTCAAAATTTTTGCAAGCTCATCTCCGATCGGCAATCCAAACTTATCCTTACCATCAAATTGTTTAGATAACTTTTCCAAGATGGAATTTTCCGACGTTTTTGCAGTTTCTCCAGAAGAATCTTCAGACACTTTCTTCATCTTTGCTGGTGGTTCCCCATCAATCTCATCAGACAAGAGTTCATCTAAACGCTCATTAGAAGCGTTTAATTCAGCCATTACAAACTCTTGCATATCGTGGAACTGCTTAGATTGCGCTGAAAGCAGCTTTTCTACGAGGCGTTCTTCGAACGAAGCTCGTAGGTTGGTAGGTTCTCCTGAGCAGCTTGGCTGCTTTATTGCAGGAGAAGAAGAAGATTCTCCTAAACAGCTTGGCTGTTTTTTAGTAGGAGAATTTTCAAAGTTATCTTCAATAACATGAACATCAGCCTCTACATGAACTGTGGCGTCATTAGATTTGTCCAAGGTACTTATTCCAAACTCGTCAGAAAGTTTTTGTAACACTGACATTGCTACGATATCCAAAATCAATTAATAACCACTTTCAATGAAAAAAACACTTCTGCTCGATCTGGGAATAAACGCGCAACTGATCTGGGAGTAGGCTTGCATATCTCACGTGATACCCACGTGACTTGGTGGTGAAGGAGAATTCTGCATATCCCTGCGCAGTCTGCAGGATATGCGCCCTTATCGCAGCGCAATTATCATAGAACCTTTCATTGCGAAATCGCACCTTATTTTGCTTGACAGAGTTATCCAATCAAAATCCTTGATTTTGTTGCGCCATTTTTTGTTAGCCTGGCAGTGCATTGAAGAAAAAAAACACCACCCACCCTTTTTCCTTTTTGGGGTTTTTGGTTTTATATTTTGCATTTTAGTCCAGATTTGTATTTTTCTAACTAACTTGTCATATGTTTCTTGATTGGCGCAATTGTTTGAACGCCCCCAAAGATTTTACTCATTTATGTTATATTTTATGCATATTTACATGTACTCTGATATGTTCACTGCATGTAAATTTCTAGTCAGTCTCGGCGCAATTGTTTGGACGCCCCCAAGGATTTACTCATTTATGTTATATTTTATGAATATTTACATGTACTCTGATATGTTCACTGCATGTAAATTTCTAGTCAGTCTCAGGGGGATCACACTTGTACCTTTCACCTGTGTACATGTAACCTGTATTGTTTAATATTAGATGATCCCCCTTCATGATTTGTTATACATTTTACTATATGTCATTGAATAAATGACATATTCGACAAAACTGCATATCTGTGTTTGGTTGTTTTTCACTGCACTTTCAGGCTGATATTTCTCATGGGAGGCATAAAAATCACTGCGCATGTTTTTGTTTCTTATAAAACTTACCAAGATTTTACCTAGGATCCCATACAATTTCACATCCACATCGGGTACAACAAAATAAACAAAACGTCTTAGCATCAAAACCAATGTAACATTTTCCGCTTTTGCATATCTCTTGACATCTTGTATCGACTGCAAAAAAAAGATGTAAATAAAAAAAAAAGAACAAAAAAAGAACAAAAAGCCAATGCTATGAGTCAATCTGCTATGACGAAAGAAAAAGGAATCTCGATAAACTCAGTGCAAATAAAGAATACCTATTTGTTAAGTACTGTATAGATACTTTACAATCTATTATTTTTCAAAAAGTTGTGAAAATGTATTTGATTTATCCAATGTAATTTCCCCCCATTTTTTGATAGAGACAAAAGTATACGAAAATGTAATAACTAGACTATTCAAAGATTTGCAGTTCGATTTAAAATTTATTTCATTCATGAAACTGTATTTATTTTCAAAAAAAGAAATAACAAGATGTGTTTGTGAAACACTATGCGCCAGGCGTCAACAAAGTTCGAAAAAGCTATTTTTAGTATATAGGTCACAGTCAAGGTCACAAGGTCATTGACCTTGGTGTTGTTTGTAAGAACTTAATTAGGGGGGTATGCATACTAAATATGTAGTCCCTATCTCCTATGGTTCAAAAGTTATGGCAAAAAGTGGAAAAAGCTATTTTTAGCATATAGGTCACAGTCAAGGTCACATGGTCATTGACCTTGGTGTTGTTTGAAAGAACTTTATTAGTGGAGTATGCATACTAAATATGAAGTCCCTATCTCCTTTGGTTCAAAAGTTATGGCAAAAAGAGGAAAAAAACTATTTTTAGCATATACCGTGGGTCACAGTCAAGGTCACAAGGTCATTGACCTTGATGTCATTTGAAAGAACTTTATTAATGGAGTATGCATACCAAATATGAAGTCTCTATCTCTTATGGTTCAAAAGTTATGACAAACAATTGAAAAAGCTATTTTTAGCATATAGGTCACAGTCAAGGTCACAAGGTCATTGACCTTGATGTCATTTGAAAGAACTTTATTAGAGGAGTATGCATACCAAATATGAAGTCTCTATCTCTTACGGTTCAAAAGTTTTGGCGAAGGTTAAAGTTGACAACAGACAGACAGCCAAACAGACAAACAGATAAACAGACAAACAGACAGGACAAAAACAATATGCGCACCGAAAAAATTCGGGCGCAAAAAATACAAAAAAGAAAAACAACCTAATGAAAATTTTTTTAAAAATCCATTTCCTCTCGGAAAATATATTCTACATCCAACAACATACATGTATATGAAACATTGATCTCTCTCATATCGACATGCTATATTTCATCCAAGAAAAGGGTCATTTGGGTAAGTATATATTCATGAGATTAATGTTATAAACTTCTAGTAATTAGAGTTAAAACACTTTAGTTAAATATGTCAAAGCTTTATGTTATTTTAATAAATACGCATTCTGTTTACTGTACATTTTTGCGTACCTCATTGAATAATATTGTGAACTTAAGATTCTATGATGTTTTTTGCTATATGCGTTTGTATCTATTACGCAATGTGTTTAATTGTATTGGTATTGTCAATTATACTATGTGTTGACTTATGTTGTTTGCTTTGTCATTTATTTATTAATAAATGACCATTCAAATTGCAACACTGCGTTTTTCATTTGTGTCAAACAGAGCACCGCCATATCAGGTATCCATGAATACAGTCATTTCTTTACTCTTTGTACCGGTAAGTCTGATGTTTCCTCCTCTTGTCCTCAGGTTGATATTTTAAACAAATCTTATTTTTTCTACGTGAAAGTGTTAACATAGAAATTTGACAAATTGTTGTAAAGGCGCCCCTGAGAGAATCTTAAAATGACCCTGTGCATTTCTACTCTTATTTTTGACTCCTACTGAGTTATCAAGGGCAAGGAGAGAATTGTCATATTATGGACAATTCGAATGTAAAAGATGAAGGTAACAAACAGTAATCGATTAATATTTTTAATTAATATACAGCAATATTGCCACTTTTCCTAAGTATTAAGAATAAAATTGAAAATTGTGAAAGTACAAGAACGTTTCAATCAAACCCATCCACAAATTTGAAGTTTTAATAACTTTTAGGTGAAATAAGATTTTAAATATATTTTTGCGTGAAATGCTATTGCAATATATAAGTCGTGATATTATGCAGAAAATTTGAGAACATTTTTACTTCAAATTTGTGTCTATGCATCTTTAAGAGTTAATAGTGAATTTTCTAAAAATTGAAATTAAACATAAAATTGTATAAATCATGAAGATGCAAACATTTATGGGGGAAAATTACAACTTAAAATGCTTAATTTATTAAGGAAGGAAATGTATAGAAGAATGTAGATACTCACAATCAGAAATGCTGGACGAACAAGCCATTGTTATTAAAGAAAGGATAAAAATAAGACTCGTAAGTTTCCACATCTTTAAGAATTTGCCTGCAAAATGCAGAATTCTAATGTCCTTATATGATTGATTGTATACTGTTTAACGTCCCTCTCCAGAATATTTCACTGATATGGAGACGTCACCATTGCCGGTGAAGGGCTGCAAATTTAGGCCTATGCTCGGCACTTACGGCCTTTGAGCAGGGAGGGATCTTTATCGTGCCACACCTGCTGTGACACGGGGCCTCGGTTTATACGGTCTCATCCGAAGGACCGCCCCAATTAGTCGCCTTTTACGACAAGCAAGGGGTACTGAGGACCTATTCTAATCCGGATCCCCACGGGGTTAATGTCCTTATACATATATATTTTATATTTATTCCTTAAATATTTGGAATTTCCTCCAAGAAAGTTCCGTGATCAATTTCATTACTACATCATCATTCATCTTGTTAAAATTACATCAATTGTAATGTATTTGAATTACTTGTAGCTTCATAGTTGGATTGAATAAGTTGTTAATTAATCCAAAATTCCCCCCAAATGATTTAAATCAAAAAGGAAAATTTACTTGAAACAAATGCGTAAATCCCATCGTAAAAATACAAAAACAAAATCACACTTATTATTATTGAGAAGGGAACAGATTTGTAGCTCCAAAATTCATTGCAGCTTTAAGTTAATGAAACCAGTGATAAGAATACAATTGATCGGTCTTTCACACTTAAAATAATCAGTGCTTTCCAGTAGATAACGTTCTACAGAAAACAACTCAAATTATCTTATTTCTGCATTTCCTAAATGTTTTAATAACTTTTCAATGTAAAATAACAAAATAGTTGACCAGATTATAATTAATAGACTTATCAATTTTTTACACAATGTATGAAATAGTCTACATTTTAGATGAATCTCAAAGGATGACTGCACTTAAGGCTGTGTTTTGGGTCTTTTTCGATAGCTTCTGTTGCTTTTAAATCTTAACCTAGGTTCAATTCAATATATTTAGTACAGAGGTCTGTCAATTAGAGACTTTAATGTTTAAAATGATTTTAGACTGTTATGTAATAACTAATTTCAAATTTTTGTCTTACGATTACCAAGTACAGACCATTTACACTTACCTGCCCCTGAATGAACATTAAGTATGTATGAGAGGCGGAGCTAACATATTGTAAGAATGGAACTAAAATTAGGATGGATGAATAACAATGACTTGTATTAAAAAATACGAGATCTCTATTTTTCAACCTCCTATTTATTCTGTATGGCACAAGTACATTATTTACAAAGATTTATAAAGTAAGAGACCATGCATATAAGCAAAGAACATTTTAATTCTATGGCTGACTATTTATCGTGTTCGAGCACATTGTCCTAGTTAGCACAAAACATGCTACCAATAAGTCATGTGACGGAAGTTTGTATTCACAAAATTACCTGAGTAAAGATATCACGTGGTAAATTATAATAATAACGCGTCACGGCCCTTGGTTACAACAGAGAGAGCGAGTGTAATAAGAAGCCCTTTTTCTCTCTTTTAAACAACGAGCGCATGTTTGTCTATAAATCTCCTTTTAAGGTCAGACGAGACGTTCCTCAAAATCTGTTTTGTATATCTTCGAAATGTATGTAAAATGTTCAAAATTTTAATAACATTATGATTTCTAAAGCAGTTTCTAAACATTTTTAGAACATCCAAACACTTAAAACTTTGAAATTCGAAAATTATTTTTCTTCCCCAAAGGATTATATAAGAAACCTACCCCTGGTACCTCGCAGAAATGCCTGGTAAGGTACCTCAATTATTTGTGAGTAAACATGTTTAAGTAGCAATACTTCATTGATAAACTCTTAGAAAAATTTATCTATTATTAAGGAACGTCTCGTCTCTCCTTAATTAACACAACATTACCAAAGCAAATATACAACAACTGTTAAAAGGAGAACATTGGACAAACATGCACTGAATATGTATACAGTCAGTAAAAAGTGGACGTCCTCATTATCGTACGGAGATTGAAGAACTTGAGATGACCCCCGCCTTAGAAAACAGATTCGTACATCGTAGATACATACATGTACTTTTATTTATTGTAATTAAATAAAGTTGTAGATTAGATGTTGATCATTCCTGCAATTAAAAGAAAAATGTCTGTTTTGAAAATTATTTTGATGCAAATTTCGTAAATCCTCAAGTGCAGTCATCCTTTGTATGATAATACATGTATACACGACCCAGAATTTTGCTAAAATGATTTTGGATTAATCATGGGTGCCATGATGTGGTAATTCTCATTCAAATTTTTTGATAGAATATCTATGACATTAGCATGTATTTTTAAAGAATCATGATTCATATATCAATCTGCCTGCATGGTTGCCTTCCTATATTTCAGATCCAATATATAGTCAAATCACAACTGTGTTCATGGATCCAGATTCAGTATCCTAAATTCATATCCTAAATACGAGTTTTGGTTTTGTATATTTCTATTTTTTGGCTAGCCTGTCAACATTTTTTAAAAAATAAATTGAGAAATTCCAAATTCATACAACTGGCCATGGTTTATTTTAAAATGCTTTTTTCATTGTCTTTGGTTAAGACATCAAGTCGTAGCAATAAAATTAAAATTTGTGAAAGTGCAAGCATGCTTCAATCAAATCCATCCAAAAATTTGAAGTTTCAATAACTTTTAGATGAATTGAGATTTTTAATATATTTTTGTGTGAAATGCTATTAAAATATATAAGTCGTATTATTATATAGAAAATATTACCTTCAAATATGTGTCCATGTACCTTTAAAGATTTAGAAAGTAATTATGAGTTCATCTTTTTTGTGCCCCTCTAAACGAAGTTTCGGGGGTATATAGTTTTTGTCCTGTCTGTCTGTTTGTCCGCAAAACTTTAACTTTGCCCATAACTGGGTGTGACTACGGCTATGACTTTCATATTTCACAGGTGTATTTCTCGTGATAAGATCTTTCTTTGGGTACCACCAAATTTGATAAACTTACCTTTACCGTGGGGTTTGACCTACTTTTACTTGTCATAACCTTTAAACAGTTGGTGCTAAGACTTTCATATGATTTCTGTGTGACAAGACCTTTCATTAGATTTCAACATCTTTGACCCTTTGACTTTGACCCTGGTAGATTGATCTACTTTTAAAATACTTCAACCTTGGCCATATCTTTATAACAGTAAGGGTTAGGACATTTCATACGTCACGTATGTAATCCTTGTGACAAGACCTTTCCTAGGATACCAACAACTTTAACGCTTTGACCTTAACCCAGAAGTTTGACCTACTATTATACACTTTAACTTTGCCCATAACCTTTGAACGAGTGGTGCTAGGCCTTTCAAAGAAATATATATGGTATGGACCATTTCAGACCCTCACTCAGAAAATGTTTATCTTTATCATGGAGAGGGATAAGGCATTGGTGTGACTAAAAATATATATTTCAATTTGATCAGGCATTCCGTTGCCATGGAAACCGTCGTCCAAAACATACTCTTTCAGACCTCTAAATCTGGCATTTAATGCCATCTATTGTCATTTAACCAATCTTTAATTTTAATACCAACTATATTGTCTTAATTAACTGATTGTATGTATACTGCGGGATATGTCAAAGTGATTGCTTTACCAAGAAAATATATTAAAATTTAATAGGAATTCCGTTACCATGGAAACCGTCGTAAAACTTATTCCTTCATATCTGAAATTATGGCTTCCATTGACAATTAAGAAATCTGTAAGTTTGGTAGGATCTGTAAAAGCTTCAAAAAATGTTTATATTTATATTTTCTGATATCTTAAGGTGATTTTTTGACTTAGAAAATATATTTAATTTGATAGGCAATTCCGTTACCATGGCAACTATTATTTACAAACATATTCCGTCAGACCAGTTTTTATGTTATTTACCTCACAAAAACGATAGTTAATTTTTCATACAATTTTTGCGATTTTGTTTTTGTTTGTTTTTGTTAAACTATATATTTTGAAGGAAAAGAAAATGTTTAACATTTATTTATTCAAATGAAGCGCCACGTCCTTTTTCAAGGGGAGATAATTCAGTAAAAGTGAAAATTTGGTGGCATGTTTTAAAACTCTTCTCAAGAATCATTGTGCCAGGAAAGATGAAACTTATAGGGAAATATCCTCAGGTAGTGTAGATTCATTTTCGTTCAAATCATGACTCCTGGGGCTAGGACAGGGCCACAATGGCTGATCAAAGTTTTACATAGTAATATATAGGAAAATTCCACAGGCACCTGACATTACTTTTTTCTTAATAAAAAAGAAAATATACCCATACCTAATAATAAACTTATTAGGTATGGGTATACCTTTTTATTAAAAAAAAGTAACGTCAGGTGCCTGTGGAAAATTCTTTAAAAATCTTCTTCTCAAGAATAGCTGAAGCATGATTAATCATATTTATATGGAAGCATCCTTAAATAGTGTAAATTAAAGTTTGTTTAAAGGATGAACCCCCAGGGGTAGGACGGGGCCACAATGGCCGATCAAATTTTACTTAGGAATATATCAGAAGTATATTTCAAGGGCAGCAAAGCCATGATTGGTCATATTCTAGTTCCTGGCCAAATATTCCAACGGCGAGAATCAAAAGAGTTTATGGATACGCCCAAGGGCAAGCATTTGAATTATTTACAAGATACTGGTATCTATAAGTATTTTATATATAAAAATAAAAAATAAACATTGAAATATTATTGCTATTATTCACTACATGGAATTGAATGTGATACATGTAACAGTTACATATTCATCATGTCAACTGCCTTTTGCGAAATTATAGTGAAAGACCCGTGTTCGCTTGGTGTCCCTTCGCTGCTCTGTTCAACATCTTCTATATTTTCCCCTTTGTCTGCTGATGGAATAATTAAAGGATGGTCTTTGCAAACATCTTGTAGACCTTCTGACTGAATTCTTTGATTAAACAGGTCAATCATAGCATCATCTGCATGAACCTCCAAATATGTGTCTAAGTAATTTTCTGGACGAACAAGTTGCAGAATGGCGTCGATATTGCAATAATTCATGGCGATATCTGGATTTGTCGTGAACAACGAATGAAAAGCGCATATGTATATAAATGGATGCCAGAAAACATACTGTGCAGACTCGGGTAGTACCATTTTCTGCTTATCCGAATTTCTGAACTTTAAGTATTTCATCAAGTTTTCTTCATTTTCATTAAAAGATAAGCCACTAATTTCAAATTCCATGGTTTTGATCAATTCTTCATCGAGTTCCTCTGATCTTTTATACTGACCTTTTAAACATATATACATAATCCATTGGTATATTACCACTGTTTTCTCGTCTCTCCTAAGGGTAGTTATATGATTTGTCATCGCTTTCAAAAGACTGCGTTTAACCACGTAATCATTAATTATATCATGATATCTCGCAAGAACATTCATTTTCAAAGGAATGCCAATTCTTTTATCACGATCATCTCTGAAATTATCAAACTTCAAATCATGACAGTAACATTCAGATTTCTTGCAAGGTTTTTTGATTTTTTTCATAAAATACTTTATATGCTCTTTATCTTTTTCATTATTTACTGCATCCAGGCTAAGCTCATTACTAAATAAATCTGATGGAGTAAAACAACCGTGTGTGTGATATTTTCTATGATACTCGGTTCTCATTCCAATGACAATTCTAACATTTGTTTCTTTGCATAATATATCATGTAGTTCTTTGCATGCCTTTTTGACTTTGTCAACTGAACATAGATCATCATTCCAAATTCCAAACCAACCATATACAAACATTATAGTGTTTTCCTCCACATTTTCTGGTATATCTGTATAAAGACATTCTAGAGATTTCCATTCCACATTGTTCTCTATAAATTTCTCCAATATAAGATGAGAAGTACTGGAAACCGAATTTCCAAATTTGCCATGTACAAATAACGATTTTCCGTCTGTCCTTGACAACACTTCAACACCGTTGGAAACATTGCGATCTTCCTCATCTGTATATTTACAATTCAAACAAAAAAAGTTTTACCAAGCATTTATAATAGAGGTACGTTCAATTGCATTCAAAATTTCATACACTTCCTCTCTATTTGCATAGCCATCAAAACCCTTAACCTCAAACTTCAAATCTACATGAAGGATATGGAGATAACGAATAGTATTCAATATCAAAGTCCAGAAAACAATACAAAACAAAGGCAGAGCAAACATGGACCTCCGAAACATCAGAGATGGGATCAGGTACCATGGAGGAGTGAGTATCCCCTGCTGACCGGTCGCATCCGCCATGTGCTCCTTGTCATAATCGGAAAAAATCCATCGTCAATTCAATGTATAATAATGGACTAATAATTAATATGAAAAACGTCATTCAGCATTGTTTATTGTTAATTTATTTATTTATTTTTGCTTAACAATCTACATACAAAGCAGGGAAACCGTATTATAATTAATTAATCAATAAATTTAATTAATTAAAATATTATTACCCTTATATAATCTTTCTGTTTCTGTTTCGTCCATATTTTTTCGATCTACAGCAAAAAATAATTAAATATATATATATATATATATATATATATATGTTTATGTCCCCAAAAAATTATTTTAATGAAATCCAAAAAGTTAATGAAATCAGAATTATAAAAACAATAACTTTTGTGACGTCTGGTACGACGACGCTTGAAGATAAAAAGCACAACTGCAAGAATACATGTGGCTGCGACTGCCATGGCAACAAAAGTGGAAGCGATTAATACTGCAGATGGATTACCAACAGCTCTTTGAAAATGCATGTAAAAAAAATACCAGTTTGAATTTACCGCTATTTATTGACATTATAACTTACATTTACTGCTTTTTAACCTTATGTGGCAATTTGCAGAAAACAGTGGAATAAGAATGTTTGGGGTTGGGACGAACAGAAAAGGAGAGAATACCAAGAGTTATATAAAAAAGATAGAACTCAAAAGATTTTTAAAAAGATATGACATATACGACATATGACACATGAAGTATTATTATGAGCTAAACAGTAAACACAAAGGTGAACTTGGACAATTTTTACAGCTTTCTTTGAAAGCAATGTTTCATATTTGTTTGGTTTAAACTTCAAGAAATCATGCCATACTCACTTTTTTGCCCTTGGAATATTCTCACCAAAACACGCTGGAACTGAAATGTAATTTTTATCATAAGAAAATTTGATTTGTATAAACTGTGACAGTGGGTTTAGTATGATCTGTCTTGTGTTGACTATGTACATGTGTACCATGTGTATTATAACTAGAAGACTAATTGTTCTCGAACAATTAGAGGTCTTTCCACCTTCTTTGAATTTCAATTTCATTTAACATTTAATTTATCTATACTTAAATTTCAATAAAAGAAACCAGAAATGGCTTAAAAGATGTAAAAAAAAAAAAATAAATAAAATGACCTTGACTTTTGACCTTGATGAAATCTTCAAGGTCATAGGTCAAAGGTCACATTGCAATTAACCTCATGCCTCTATGACTTATAGTTTTAAAGTTATAAGGTTTAATAGTAATCACTTATGTGTAAAGGGCAATAACTCATGTAAGGGGTCATCAGATCCTTTCGCACTGGAACATTTAAGTTGTGCCTAAAGTCTCTTAAGATAAAAGTGAAAGTTTCAAGTCTCTGTGGTTAACTGATTTGGAATAGTAGCAATAACAAAGTTTTTCGTATAAGGGGCAACAACTTTTTAAAGGATCAATCTTAGGAAACAAGAATGAAATCTTTCAAATAGTTTTAAGAGTACATATTATAGATGCAAAGACACTTAGTATATGTTAAAAGACAAAGGAGATATAAAAAGAGCTAAATTTCTCATTTTTGAAATGACCTTGACCTTTGACCTTTACATGAATTTAAGATCAAAGGTCAATAAATCTTATGCAGTTGGTCCCATGTCATTATGACTTCTCGTTTTGAAATTATTTAATTATTTGTAAAATTCAAAAAGTTTCAGGGGCAATAACTCATTAAAGGGGTCACAAAATACTTTCGCAATGATAGATTCCAGAGTCCCCTCAAGTAGTCGAAGACATTGGTGAAGATTTTGTTCCTCTACAGTTTACAGTTTCGGAGGAGTAGCGATAACAACCATTTCTTGCAAAACGGGCAATAACTTCGAAAGCTGTCATAGTTCATATGCGTTGGGTCAAATTTGTTCCTAACTTTTAATGACCTTTATGACGAACAAAAAGTCTTTTCGACAAATATCGAAACAAAAAATCAGCGGAAGAAAAATAAGAACTAGGAGAATTATTGTTCAAAGAACAATAAGAGGTCTTTCCACCTTCTTTGAATTTCAATTTTGTTTTATATCTGACTCCTTAAAATTATATTCCATGAATAAGAAAACAAAATTGTCTTAAAAGGATAAATTAAAAAAAATGAAAATTTAAAAAAAATTGAATTGACCTTGACCTTTGACCTTGAAAAAATCTTCAAGGACAAAGGTCAAGGGTCACAATGCAATTGACCCCATGCCTCTACGACTTATACTTTTCAAGTTAAAGGTTTAATAGTAAGTACAAAGAAGTTAAAGGGCAATAACTCATATAAGGGGTCATCAGATCTTTTCGCACTTATACAATGAAGTTAGGCCTAAAGACCCTAAAGGCATTAGTGAAGATTTGGTGTCTATACGGTCTATGGTTTCCGAGGAGTAGCGATAACAAGGTTTTTCGCACAAGGGGCAATAACTTTTAAAAAAGTTAATCTTAGGGGACAAGTATGAAATCTTCGAAAGAGTATTAAGAGTGCATATTACAGACAAAAGATAGATTGTATATGTTTAAAGATATAAGAACTATTAAAAAAAATTTATTCCTCATATTTGGAATGACCTTGACCTTTGACCTTGAAATGAATTTGAAGGTCAAAGGTCAATGAAACTTATGCAGTTGGTTTCATGTCTCTACAACTTCTCATTTTGAAAATTTTTAGTTTTTTATAAAACTTATAAACTTTCAGGGGCAGTTACTCATTGAAGGGGTCAAAGAAAACTTTTGCAATGAATAGATTGAAAAATCTCCTAAATTAGTTGAAGACGTTAGTGAAGGTTCTGCATCTTTACGATTTACGGTTTCTGAGGAGTAGCGATAACAAGCTTAACTGTGAAAGGGCCAATAACTGCGTAAGGGGTCTAAGTTAAAACATGGGGGGTCATTTTTCGGAATAACTTTAAACATCCAGTATCAAGAACTATAAAGTTTTTCGATAAGTCTTACGGTGTCAAAACATAAGGTGAGAAATAAAACTAGGAGACTTATTGTTCACAGAACAATAAGAGGTCTTTCCACCTTCTTTGAATTTTAAATTTGTTTTATACCTGACTCCTAAAAATTAAATTCCATGAAAAAGAAACCAGAACTCTCTTAAAGCAAAGAAAAAATGAAAATTAAACCAAAAAAGAGTGACCTTGACCTTTGACCTTGAAAAAATATTCAAGGTCAAAGGTCAAGGGTCACAATGCTGTTGTCCCCATGCTTCTATGACTTATACTTTTCAAGTTATAAGGTTTAATAGTAAGTACAAAGAACTTAAAGGGCAATAACTCATATAAGGGGTCATCAGATCCATTTGCACTTATACAGTGAAGTAAGGCCTAAAGACCCTTAAGATATTAGTGAAGGTTTGGTTTCTCTACAGTCTACGGTTTCGGAGGAGTAGCGATAACAAGGTTTTTCACACAAGGGGCAATAAGTTTCAAAAGGGCTAATATTAGGGGACAAGAGTGAAATCTTTGAAACAGTTTTAAGAGTACATATTAATGATGCATAGACATTAAGTATATGTTAAAAGACAAAAGAGATATAAAAAGAGCTAAATTTTTCATTTTTGGAATGACCTTGACCTTTGACCTTTACATGAATTTGAAGGTCAAAGGTCAATGAATCTTATGCAGTTGGTCCCATGTCTCTACGACTTGTCGTTTTGAAAATTTTTAATTATTTGTAATATTCAAAAAGTTTCAGGGGCAATAACTCATTGAAGGGGTCACCGAATGCTTTCGCAATGAATAGAATGAAGAGTCCCCATAATTAGGCAAAGCCATTGGTGAAGGTTTCATACCTTTACGGTTTACGGTTTCAGAGGAGTAGAGATAACAAGAGTTTTTGGCACAAGGGGCAACAACTTTTAAAAGGGTCAATCTTAGGGGGCAAGATTTATATCTTCTAAAGAGTTTCAAAAGTACATATTAAAGACATAAGATAGATCGTATATGTTTAAGGACATAAGAGCTATTAAGAGAAATTTATTTCTCATATTTGGAATGACCTTGACCTTTGACCTTAACATGAATTTGAAGGTCAAAGGTCAATGAATCTTATGCACTTGGTCCCATGTCTCTACGACTTCTCGTTTTGAAAATTTTTCAATTTTTTATAAAATTTATAAACTTTGAGGGGCAGTAACTCATAGAAGGGCTCAAAGAAATATTTAGTAATGAATAGATTGAAAAGTCTCCTAAATTAGTAACGACATTGGTGAAGGTTTTGTATCTCTACTGTTTACAGTTTCTGCGGAGTAGCGATAACAAGCTTTACAGTGAAAGGGGCAATAATTACGTAAGGGGTCAAAGTTCTAACATAGGGGGTCGTTTTTCGGAATAACTTGGAATATCCAGTATCATGAACTAAAAAGTTTTTTGATAAGTCTTACGGTGTCAAAACATAAGGTGAGAAATAAAATAAAAAACATAAGCATTTCAATAGGTCTTTCCACAGAAAGGTGGAAAGACCTAATAACTAGGAGACTTATTGTTCACAGAACAATAAGAGGTCTTTCCACCTTCTTTGAATTTCAAATTTGTTTTATATCTGTCTCCTTAAAGTTAAATTCCATGAAAAAGAAACCAAAACTGTCTAAAAGCATAGAAAAAATGAAAATAAAAAAAAAATAATGGAATGACCTTGACCTTTGACCTTGAAAAGAATATTCAAGGTCAAAGGTCAAGGGTCATAACGCAATTGACCCCATGCTTCTATGACTTATAGTTTTCAAGTTATAAGGTCTAATAGTAAATACAAAGAAGTTAAAGGGCAATAACTCACATAAGGGTCATCAGATCCTTTTGCACTTATACAGTGAAGTTAGGCCTAAAGTCCCTTAAGACATTAGTGAAGGTTTGGTGTCTCTACGGTCTACAGTTTCGGAGGAGTAGCGATAACAAGGTTTTTTACACAAGGGGATATAACTTTTAAAAAGGTTTATCTTAGGGGACAAGAATGAAATCTTTGAAATAGTTTTAAGAGTGCATTTTAATGATGCACAGACAGATAATATAAGTTGAAACAGATTAAAATAGCTTAATTTCTCATTTTTGAAATGACCTTGACCTTTGACCTTTACATAAATTTTAAGTTCAAAGGTCAATGAATCTAATGCAGTTGGTCCCATGTCTTTACGACTTCTCGTTTTGAAAATTTTTAATTATTTGTAAAATTTAAAAACTTTCAGGGGCAATAACTCAAATAAGGGGTCTATGAGATCCTTTCGCAATGAATAGATGGAAGATCCTCTCAAGTAGTCAAAGACATTGGTGAAGGTTTCATACCTATACGGTTTACGGTTTCGGAGGAGTAGCGATAACAAGCATTTCTTGTGTAAAGGGCGATAACTTCGAAAGGGGTCAAAGTTCAAACTTCTTGGGTCATTTTTCGGAATAACTTTCAATATCCAATATCATGAACTATAAAGTTTTCCGATAAGTCTTGCGGTTTCAAAAGTCCGGCAGAAAAAGAATAAAAAACATAAGCATTTCAATAGGTCTTTCCACGGAAAGGTGGAAAGACCTAAAAAACATAAGCATTTCAAGAGGTCTTTCCACGGAAAGGTGGAAAGACCTAAAAAAAATAAGCATTTCAAGAGGTCTTTCCACAGAAAGGTGGAAAGACCTAATAAACAGAACAATTTCAATAGGTCTTTCCACAGAAAGGTGGAAAGACCTAATTATTATAACGATTACATCTCGGACAGGCGATTTAGATGTGTTTTAGATATAATGATAATTATGGCAATATACACTAGATAAATAAGCAGTTTACGTAACTTACATTTATACACTTCGTTAGACACATAGGTTCTGTTTGGACACAGTGGGATGGTAGTATTACATGGTTGCCAGTCAATGTAGCCATCAGCAGTAAAAATTGGACATTGACCTAAAACAAGTCAAATATACCTCATGTTAATTTTTTTTTTCAGATTTTTAAATGTTGACCCTTGTAAAAATAGATATAATGGTAAAATATTTTCAGCTGAATTATTCCTCTCCTAAAGATTAATGCTTCACTGAAAAGGAATCTTTTCTTGAGAGAGAGAGAGAGAGAGAGAGAGAGAGAGAGAGAGAGAGAGAGAGAGAGAGAGAGAGAGAGAGAGAGAGAGAGAGAGAGAGAGAGAGAGAGAGAGAGAGAGAGAGAAAATGCTTTACCTTTAATAATCTTTGTTTTCTCCACACATCGTTCCCACTTCCAACCTTTACTGTCAGACAGACAATGATAAACACTCTGTCCACCACAATCCCCCTGTTTTATTTTTGCTCGTTCCTCCCATGTTTCTTTGGTAACAGGACATGCCTCTGCGTTCCCTTCCCTTGACATATTCTTTCAAGAAAAAGGCTGTTTAAGGTATTTGATGTCATAGGTTTTTGCAAAAACTGTTATTGATTGATTTAAATTCATACCCAATAGAACAATACCATTTGGAATGATGCATTTAAATAGGTGTAATGATAAATATTGTTAAGTAAAGGAATTTTTAAAATACATATTTTCTTTATATAATCATTTATTTGATCTAAAAATGTTGACTAGGGCAATTACTCTTCAGATTTCTTCATTCAGGCACCTCTTCATTCAGACATATTCTTTATTATCCCCTCGCGCAACTTGTTGCGGAGGGGATATAGCATCGCCAATGTGCGTATGTGTGTGTGTTAGTGTGTATGTGTTTTAGTGTGTTAGTTACATCTTGTGGGCAAGATTGACAGAAAATCTTTGCATTAACCAATCTCAGCGTTTACATACCTGTGTGGCAGTATAAAAGGACGAAGCCTATTCATCTTCAAGTTCATTGATGAAATATTTCTTCAGATATCGAGTTTTTTCTGCCGCGAAACCCTGACATTTTATGTACGAGTTGACAATAATCATTTGTGGGCAAGATTGACAGAGAACCTTTGCATTAACCGATCTCAGCATTTACATACTTGTGTTGCAGTATAAAAAGATGTAGCCTATCCATTTTCAAGTTCATTGATAATATATTTCTTCAGATATCGCGTTTTCACAGTCTCGAAACCCTGACATTTTATGTACGAGTTGACAATAACCATTTAACGATAGGGAACCAGTTTAAAAGCCAGTTTTAATGTTTAATGTTAAAGGCATGCCAAGTCTGCGGGAACCAGATTAAAAGAGTTTGATGAACGTCGCGGTTTCATTACTGAAGTCCAACAGGTGTCTGGGAATTTGGGGTGCACATTATTCCTAAAAGCTGTAAATACAATCCACAAGTTCAATTAACCTCTCGATGTACATATTGTGTTATTTTTCATTACGAGAAAAAAATGCATATTGCTTGGAACTGTGAGATATACTTAGGTAGGTAACGAATTAAAATGAGCATATGTGATATGTTTCTGCTAGGTATAAGGGAAACTGCCCAATTACGTATGCATATTATTATTATGCCCCCCCTTCCCACTACAATGCTATGCAATCTGATTTTCGTTAAATATAGACACCCCAACCCCCGGTGAAAGAATTTAATATCCTATATTAAACTTTACTACCCAAAATTAGGTATCCATGTTATACCACCCCCCCCCCCCCCTGAACCAAGACGCTATGTACTTTGCCTTTTGTAAAAATTGGATCAACAAAAACACCCGAGTCGACTAATAATTTTGTCAAAAGTAAGGCAGTTGATCCTTATGTTGTGGTTTTGAATCCCTTTGTGGGACGTGGAGACTGGTCGTTTGAATGAGACCGTGTAAACCAAGGGCCCATGTCCCAATAAAAGATTCCTCACCGCTTAATGGTCGTCAGTTCCTATTATAGTAAAGAATGTGCAGCTCTCCACCGGCAAACCTTCATATGAGCAAAAAATTCCTGGGAGGGGCATAAAACAAAACACATTTAACTATTAATCTTTAACATGTTTAACGTCCCTCGAGAGAATTTATCTCTTATGAGATATTGCCAATACCAGTAAAGTTCCTGTCGCGAGGGGATGCTCCGCTTAGCGGTGCCCTTGTTGTAATTCTAACTTAAAATCTTTCAGTGTTATTCACAATTCAAAAGTAGCTTATGAGTAGCAAGTATTTCGAAACTCAGCATCAAATCATGCATTTGAACAAGTTTTTACAAGATTTTCTTTAGTACTGTTTACAAAAGTATTATGATTTTTGTATGCTGAGATATACACAGATACATGCCCGTTTATTAATGTCTCATATATTAAACTAGAGGTACTGTGAGCATGGGCTCACTAAATTATACCCCCCGCCTCCCATATGTGTATAAATGGCAGTGTCCATGTTTTGCTATGGAAAACCCAAAATATGTGTCGGATCAAAAAGTAAAATAGGAGGTGCACAATGGCAATATGTAATAAAGATTTTGTGAAAGTTTCATCAAATTTCATCCAGTGGTATAAGAGGAGTTGCGGATAAGAGATAGGTACCCCAAAGCGTAACAGACGGACGGACGGAAGGACGTACAGACGGACGGACGGACGGAATTAACGATTACTATATGCCCTCCCGCTTTTCAAGCGGGGGGTATAATGATATGACAACCTTTACATTTTTTGGCAATAATTGTAAACTTAAACTTTATTAAGTAAAATACATATGTATTTCCATTTTGTACTTAGAACCATTAAAATTGTGAGGGTGGAAAGATTTTAAACAATGGTACAAACTGTTCATGCAAAAACTAGAGGTACTGTGAGCAATGGGCTCACTAAATGATACCCCCGCCTCCATATAGTAACATGTACAATGGCAAAGTCCATGTTTTGCTGTGGCCGGGAACCCCAAAATATGTGTCGGATCTAAAAGTAAAATAGGAGGTGCACAATGGCAATATGTAATAAAGATTCTGTGAAAGTTTCATCAAATTTCATTCAGTGGTATGAGAGGAGTTGCGGATAAGAGATAGGTACCCCAAAGCGTAACAGACGGACGGACGGACAGACGGACAGACGGACGGACGGACGGACAGACGTACAGACGGACGGAATTAACGATTACTATATACCCTCCCGCTTTTCAAGCGGGGGGTATAAAAAGAGGGTGTTGCTAAAACGCGGAACGGAAAACGGAACGGAACGGAAAACGGAATATATTATTTTGGATTAAATCACTTAAAATACACAAAATTTATCATAAACGATATATCTTGTACATATTCAACCCCCCACTATTAAATACAAGTTGATTTTGTCATGCTCAGTCTCTTTTTTTTTTTACAAAAATCGCTAACATACATATGTATATAAGTCACCTAGAATCGAATTTGAAAAAGGGAGATAAACGAACTTGAAAAGTATTTGACAAGCAAAAATACAAAAAGAAAACAGTTTGATTCGGGAGGGGGATAAGTTCCAATTCCAACATCTTTCAGTACTATTTTTTGAATACTAACATTCTAAATCAATTACATTCACAAAAAGTGTGAGGATGTCAACTTGAAGAACATTTCCTTAGTAAAAAGTTTATGACCGGGGTATCAAATATTTGATATCTAAATGAACCATGAAAGAAATAAAATGTAAAAAAAAAAAATTATTAAGATAATACGTTTAGGGCAAACCTTTACGGCAAGCTCGAATAAACGTCTCTTATATGCATACTGGTTGTTAACATTTTATTCAAAATAAAGAGGTTTTCTATATATTTAAATTCTGGAAAGACAATGCAAAGTTGGAAAACTTTCATGTGGTAGATATGATGCAGAATCTTTGCATTCAATGAAGTTAAATTTTGCTTGCGGTACATATGTGTGTATGTTGGGGGGTGTTTATATGAATGACCCCGTAAAAAATGAGTTTGTTTTCCCGCTCATCGGAAAGGTCTGACAAGTTGTAATAGGTATGTCTCCACCCTTTTTGTGTCAAAAATATACATAAGGTTTAATAAATCAATTTTTAATGACTGTGGGTCCCTACAGACCCGAAACTGCCACTCCCCCTTTCATGATTCGCGAATTCGACACTGCGTGCATAATCTGAATATCATAAATAGTTATTTTTGTCTTTACAGACATTGAAATTGGAAACAAATTGAAAGAGGGGGGGGGGTGTCAGTAAAAATTTTCCAACATACAACAAATTTGACAAGCCAAAAAAAGGGGATATGTCCTTTGCCCAAACACGAAAATCTTATATCGTGTGTGTGTGTGTGGGGGGGGGGGGTCGAATTTCTTTCAGTACCATTTTTTCCACGGAAGTTGTGTATGACTCATGAATATATATTAGTTTACAATAAATTTTTATCAGAAATGATTTTTACAACAAGAATATTGCTCTTTTATCTGATTTATATCGAATCTATGTTATTTGTTTGACAAAAATTTTCCGCTTTCCGTTCCGTTCCGTTTTCCGTTCCGCGTTTTAGCAACACCCCCCAAAAAAATGCCTGAACAATTTATATGCTAAACTATAGACAGAATTTATAGGAGTATTAGATGTAAACTAGCTAAACAGACTACATAGACTTACAAATAAACCTAAATAATTCTTTTTAGCTTACATCATGAAATGGACTTAAGAATATCTTAGATCTTCATTTGTTATGATATTCATTATTTTCAATTTTTTAAGGAATCGAAAACGAAAGTTGAGTTTCTAACCAAATTATCACAAAAGTAATTCTAAATTAAAATACACGGAAAACTTACCTTTCTCTTAGTTTAACTCTGCTTTTGTGAGACGCAATTTAGAGATTTAAGTGTGCTATTCTTCGCTCTACAATCTCAGACAACAAAAATAGCTTTTGTGAAGTATCTAAAAATAAACAAGGTATTTCAGACAATATGGAGTTGTGGGGTAACGTAATACTTAGCTGTCTGGAGCTTGCACCCGCGTAGCGCAATGCATGGTTAGAGTGTCTGCTCTCGATTCGCGAAGTAAGGAGTGAATCTTTATGTCGCGGGTATCAGTGTTTCACAAACACATTTTGTTTTATAAGGCTTTACTTTACAAACCACTTACACCCAATAGCGTAGTCTTAGATTTTATTATTATTATACCCCCCGCTTGAAAAGCGGGAGGGTATATAGTAATCGTTAATTCCGTCCGTCCGTCTGTCTCCGTCCGTCCGTCTAGCTGTACGTCCGTCCGTCCGTCTGTTACGCTTTGGGGTACCCATCTCTTATCCGCAACTCCTCTTATACCACTGGATGAAATTTGATGAACCTTTCACAAAATCTTAATTACATATTGCCATTGTGCACCTCCTATTTTACTTTTTGATCCGACACATATTTTGGGTTTCCCATAGCAAAACATGGACATTGCCATTTATACACATATGGGAGGCGGGGGTATCATTTAGTGAGCTCATTGCTCACAGTACCTGCAGTTCCTTAATAATTTAATTCTGGTTGTAAC